CAGCAGGGCACTGAGGCACTCGCTCCCCACTCGAACCCCCCACTACTGCGCTCCAAACGCATCACTAACTGGATCTCCATGTGGTACATCCATTACTGTAAAATCCTCTGCTGCTCCCCACTGAAAGCTCACCATCCTCCTCTGCCCTCCGCTTCCCCTCTCTCTCTCTCACACACACACCATCAAAAACTCCACCACCCCAAGCCCCCTTCATAAGACCGCTTACGCTGGCAGTTATGAATTGGGCTAGGTCCAAGTTTAACATTAGTGGGGGGGGGGGGAGTTGGGGTGTTTAAAAAGCAGCCTGCAGAGAGTTGCAAGCGCGATCACAGCCGTGACTCCAGTTAAAAAATAAATAAAAAAATCTGCACGTCACTACACTTCTTTTTGCTTTGTTGCGATCATGACGGCCTTTTTGGAAGCACAGACTGAAGAAACAGTAAGGCCATACATGTGCACGTTTGAGGGGGAAGCTTAAGTTATCTATGGGAAATGCATATCCATGTTTCCAAGGACAACATTAGTTACCTTTGGATTATTCACTTAAGTGTGATTTCTGTGGAAAGCTGTAATTCATCACCAGCGCTGCGGGGACTTGTCTTACCAAGGAGGCCTTTTTTTTCCTTTTTTCTCTCATTTTGTGCAGTAAAGCCACAGTCTGATGTCATTACCAGGAAATGGAGATATTTTGGGGCTCAGCTCTCTTTTATATGGATTTTGTCCTCATCCCTTGTTCTGGGGAAATGCTGACAAATCTGATTCTTGGTGCCAAAATTCTGAGTAAAACCCTGTCATTGTTGAAAGCCAACAAAAGAGTGGTTCATTTAGACTCAATTTATTATCATTTTTTTCTTTGTGTCAACAAATAGCAACACTGGCTTGGCAAATGGCTTCGTAGGAAAGAAAACACCAAACCCTAGCTCTCTGCGTGTGTGTCTGAGGGAAAGACAGAAGGAGTGAGAGTATTCAGATTTTAAATAATCCATTTTTACAAAGGAAATCCCGTCATGGTTATTGATTGTAACATATGACAAATAACTATTAATCACATAACTTTTAATTAAAAATATGCCCAAGACTGTTTGGTGCAGTTCATTAGAGAGTTCACAGAAGCTAAAATGGTGATTTCTGCATCTGCATTGCATCCTACTTGCCTTAAGCGCAGCTGCGCGGGGGCATCACTTGTAAAATCATCAACTGTAATAACAGGAATAAATGTGTGCAGCGCGGAAAAGGTCACTGACATGGGACTATACAGTTCCACTCACTTAAGGATGAATTTTGCATGTGTTTATAAGAATGTGGAGCCGTTAAAGTTTAATTAGATGTCCCACATTGATGGCCCCTGATGGTGCTTTTCTTCAAGGTGTCTTTAGTTTATATTATGAGAAGGTGTGCATTAAAGCACGCACAACTAACTATTTTCATTATCTGCCATCATTTCCTCTGTTGATGATCGATTCAATTGGTCTGAAATTATGTTAGAAAATTGTTTCCAGAGCCCTAGGTGATTTTAAATACTGTTTTTTGTTCTGCTAAAAGTCTAAACTTCAGAATTTACAGTAATATAAAACAGAGAAGCCGCAAATCCTCATATTTACAAAGTTAGAACAAGCAAATGTTTGGCATTGTTGCTCAAAGAATAAAGCAAACAATAAATTATCAAAATTATCGACATTAATTTCCTGTTGAAAAGCTAATTGATGGGACTGTAACTCACCTGGTAGAGCTGGTGCCCCAAGTGCCGGGACCTAGCCCTGCAGTGGTCTTGTGGTCGAGATCCGATCTGTGGCCCTTTGCTGTGTGTCATCCACTCTCTCTCTGCTTCTTTCTGGTCATTCTACACCTGTCCTGTGAGTAAAAGGGCAACAAAAAGCTGCAAGAAATGTTTAAAAAACAAATAAATAATAAAATAACAAATCAACTAATAATCTCTTCAAGCTGTAGATGACACAATAAAGTGTAACATAGTTCAAAGACTGACTAGGTGACATACTACTATTTTAAAAAATGTTTTTTAGTTTTCTTTGTTTTTTTGGTGAAAAAGTGTGACAAAAAAGACATAGGAGCAGGGTTAGGAAACATTTACTAATTACATGTTAAAAAATGTAGTCAGTAACTTAATCCAAGTATCACAATATTAAAGTCATGTAACTTCATTACTTTCCATTACATTTTGATTACCTCAATACCAAATATGTAAATTAAGACAAGGGAAAAGACATTTCAATAAGATGACTTTTATGTCTTCTAAAAGACAGCTGAGCAATGTAATTTAGAAAAGAAAATATAAACTGTGAAAGCATTTTTGATAATAAATTAGCTATGGTTTCACTGGAGACCAGAGTGCTGTTGTGTAATGTACATGTACATCATTATTTTAAAGCTGAGATAGATAGATAGATAGATAGATAGATAGATAGATAGATAGATAGATAGATAGATAGATAGATAGATAGATAGATAGATAGATAGATAGATAGTCTGCCATGCTGAACTGCCATGTTTCTAGCCCAGAATGAACAAACCAACCACTGGCTCTAGACAGGGTCACGTTCTTCGCAAGTATCGCAGCAACTGTAGTTTCTCCTACACACTTTACAGCCTGTTCTCATTCCCAGGTCGAATAATACAGACGCGAGCGGTGTTCAGTAAGTTGCAATCTGCAACAAATACTAGATGCCACTAAATCCTACACCCCTGTCCTTTAAGATGTTAATATTGTAGTGATAATAAATATATGATCTTACATACAGTACATAATATGATAATATCCACTATAACAATCATTACAATACATATATTATATTCCTTATATTATTTATTATTGTAGAATAAGGGGATTTCAGTAGTGACTAGCTGTAGAACTGTAGTACTCTGTTGTCTTTGATATGTAATGTCTCCTTCATGATGAAATGATAAAAAAGGCAAACACAAAAAAGTTGGTCACAAAAAAAACAATATATGACATAACAACAATAATACACTATAACAATCATTATAAGCATTTTATTTTAAATGCCTTCATTTTAAAATTGTGGTTATCTTTTCAATGTGTAAAGGTAACTTGTTCCAGTTCCTGTCACCAAGACCCTAAAAGAACATGCACCAACCTTGGCATTAAACCTCAGCAAGCCCAAGTCAGCCACCCCTGAAGGTGGTCTTTGAGATACTCGGGGCTCTGTTGTGACACAAATGATCCACCACACTGAGCTGCACTGTAAGACTCTATCCTCTAAGGGTAAGCACTGTTGGAATTGCTGTTGCCAACATGTGCTCTTGGGTTTTATCCCAACACAACCCTGGCTAACCTCCTCTGAGAGATCTTTCACCAACCAGATGTGGTCTTGCACATCTGACCATCGGTGGAGGCCAAAGAATACTAAAACCTCTCAGTAGATACTCTCTACCACTGCAAGGGCTCATTACATTCAGTACAAATGTGCTGCTCTATACAAATTAAATGCATCTGTAAAAGCAGATGCCATTTCAGGAGCTAACAGAGTCATAATTCAGGTGAGCATGTTCTATAAAACTTCCCTAAACATGTATTAATACACCACCCATCCCTCCTACTCACACACTCACTCAGAAATAGACCTGTCATCTTGCCACCATCCCCTTATCGTATAACTGCTAACAAGCCTATTTGCCTGTGACTGACGTTGATGTGATCCCTAAAGCCTCGGGCTTGGCACCAGATCGCTGCTAAGCCAAATTAAGCCTCTGTCATGCCCACCCCCACCTCCAGCCTAGTGCTACCCCTGCCATGGGAACCCTAAATCTTTAATGACGATGGAGAGCTCTGCGCGCTCCCACGACACAAAAGCGATGACATCTGTGTCTGTAAGTGCCGCACTCCAGAGCAACCACATTTGTTCTATCTCCGCTTCTTGAAAAGAAATCAAACAGAAAAGTTGAGGGAGGGTGGAGGAAGGAGGAGGTGGAGCTAAGGAGGTTAAAACAAAAGATCCTCTCTTTCAAAAGGAGGTTTGTTTCACTGCCCAGTGGTCCTTAAATGTTCAAAGAAGGTGTTAAAAGAGTCTCAGCTCCGCTTCTTGTTCTGGTGCTCTGGCTACGGCCCACCTGCTCACTACTGCTTCCAAGTCAACGGGGATGTTTAGTGGAAAACAGCCACACTGAACTTAAAGGTCCACTGTGTAACATTTTGGAGGATCCATTGGAATATAATATGAATCGCCATGTTTCTACAGTAGCCCAGAATACCCCCGAATTACGATATTTCAAGTTAGTAAAGCACTGAATAGAAAGATCTAAATGGTGGCATAAGCTGTTTTATTTCCAAATTTTCAGACTTGTATTTTTTCATTGAACTTAGTGCCTATCACTCAGTCCAAAATGTGTCTGATCATTACAGTAATATTCGTTTTTCAGATGGATCTAGAAGAATGCTTCAATGAGAGTGCCTCTGAAGAAAGTGATTCATTTACGAGCTATGGGCCTTTTGACATTGGGCCATCACAATCCACAGGCTCACAAGAAACAAGAAAAATGATTTCTTATCAAATATGTTAAGATAATAACTTTGAAGTTACTTTTACTATAGATACACTTTGACTTAAACACCCCCCTTATTTCTGTGTTCATCACATTCCTTAATCTTGAGTGGCAGCTAGAATGTATTATCATCTGTCAGTTATCTTTACAATTAATCGTTGGTCTATAACAGTGAAAATTGTATATATATAATAATTGACTATAAATAATAGTCAACTAATTAATTAACTGTTTTAGCACTACTCTCACTCTTTTTAGTTGTTTTTTTTCCCATAATACCCCATTTAAAGCCCTTTTGATTTGCCTTTTGTAATGACATTTTATATTAAAATACATTTCCTCGCGTTTCCCAAGAACATATTCCCCGGTCAACAATATGGCTTAATTCCAGCCAACCATTTCAAACAATACAATTGTAACAGAGCTCATGGAGGACCCGTCTGCTGTTTTTGTACAGGCACTCCGGTAGTCTCCTCCGTCTCTGCTCCGGGTCCTTCTCTTGAGGAAGAAAGATGGCGGCGTCCGTGCTGTGCAGGAGGACGGCGGCGTTGTGTCGTACGTTAACGGGAATGTCGTCCTCTAAAACGGTTCTTCCTTCCAGCTGGCTTCTGCTGCAGACCGCGTCCTACAACCCGAAACCTCTGAAGCTCAACCTCCATGAGCCGTACGTCCCAGACAAGGACAGCGAGAAGACGCCGGAGTGGCAGAAGACGGCCCGGTATGACAGGAAGCTGTTCGGTCGGTACGGCTCAGCGTCGGGCATCGACCCTGCGTCGCTGTGGCCCAGCCACGAGCAGCTGGACAAGATGATTGCAGAAGAAAATGAGTGGCACCCTCCGTTAAAAGTAATGCTGAAGAACATCAAGGACAGGGAGAAGCAGGAAGCCGAACAACGGCTGGCAAAGTAAGTAACAGCGAACAGAAGTCCGGCATTTATCACCCGGTACCGGACCGACCACCGGTACTCAGACCGACCGCCGACCACCGGTACCGGACCGCCCACCGGTACCTGACCGACCACCGGTACACTGTCAGCATACAGGAGAACATTAACAGCAGCAGACAGGTGGATTCAAGGTCCTGTTCAGCAGTCTGTAGTATAAGTTATTATAAGTTATTTATTCTATAAGTTATTATCTGTTATTCTATAAGTTATTAGTGTAGAATCACCTGAAAATAAGAGTATTATCTGCAGAGGCCGTGGAGGCCGCCATATTGAACCGCCATCTTTATACAGTAGCCGAGAAGAGACAAACCAAACACTGGTCCTAAATAGCAAGAACTTTTTCCCGTTTTTCGCGAGTTTCATGGCCACCGTAGTGTCTACTTCGCGCTTGAAAGCTAGGAATAGCACAGTGGGAAATACTCTTATTACATATGGAAGCATGTTGCTTCAGCTGAGCAAGTCACAGAACATCAGAATGTGTTAGCCACCCACAGCTAAAACAAATGCAATTATTCAAAACTTTCATTAGAAATATCATTTAGTCATGGCCTGTTGAGGACAGCCTATTTAAAGACACAGAAAACCAAACAATTAAAGGAGCACCCCAGAAATTTGGAATTGGTTAAAAAGGCGGTAGAAAGAAGAATTGGAGCAGCATGGATCAGGCTCCAAAAACACTGTATCCTACATTTGCCATAATGCAAGTGGATAATATCTTCAGTATAATTCAAATGGGTGCATTAGTATAGGGTTATATCATTAACAGTGTATATATAATGGACAGAGCTTCCAGGTCTGAAAAGTGAAGCCAACGCAGAAGTGTCTTAAAACCTGCATTCTATTTAAAGGCCAGCAGGGGGAGCTCCATTGGCTGCAATAACACAGCGATCCCATTCACTTTAGTAACTGATGGTCCCATTTAGAGTAAAATAGACCATAAAGCAGGGGATGCTTTTGGGCGGGGCTACCTTTTGATTGACAGGTCACTCTCAGCGATTCCGTCCAGCACAGTGCACTAAACTCAGATCAAACTGTCGAACTAGGCAGTGCTGATCAAATACGAAGCTAGGTTCTGGTACTGCGTTGACTATTTCTCACTTAAAATCGTTTCAGAAACATATTTTAGTGTACTGTTTAGCTGTAATACAAGATTGTGTGTGACCAGGCGAGCCGCCATTGTTTCCTGCTAAGGACGAGTCAAAACTGCACAGCCAATGAGCGTAGATCAACTCGCAGTACGTCACGTCTGCTGGCTCGCGCTGGCTCTGTTCTACTGTCATGGCAGCGGCCAAAATGCCAAACTGGAGACTTCAAAATAATACTCCACAAACCAATGGGTGACGTCACAATAGGTTCACACTTGGTATATATGTATATGTATGCCAGAAAATGGTGGAAAATGTCAATCGGAGTCCAAAGTGGTGTCTACAGATCTACACAACTATGCATCAAGCCACATGTTAACATCTGCTGTACTAATCTTTTCCATTTCTATTGCAGAGAGAAACTCATAGCAGCCAACATGGCCAAAATGCCCAAGATGGTAGCTGACTGGCGCAGAGAAAAGTCTGAAACCAAGCAGAAGCTAAAGGAGGAGAAAGCCCGCCGTGCAAAATTACTGTCCGAAGCCAGAGAGCGCTTTGGCTACACGGTGGACCCCCGCAACAAAAAGTTCGTGGAAATGGTTGCCGAAATAGAAAAGGAAGAGAAGAAGAAGAAGAAACTAATGAAACGCAGACTGAAAGAGAACCAGGTGGCAGCCCCCGTCACACCTCCTGCTGCCTCCTCGTCGTCTTAGACTGAGTCATTTGAGACTTAAATAACTGTTGGGCCTTGGTCTGTCTGTATTTAATGAGATGGAAGGTATGCTGCATAACACAGCTCAGTGGAATGGTTCTTATAGAGCATAGAAAGTCCTTGTTTTGTGTTACTGCATCTGAAATGACCTGGAATGGATTAAATAAACATTCATTCATGTTTTTTCTTCTGTAAAAAAAATGTATCCATAGTTGTGTCATATTTGTTAATCATGTTAATTTGACCTGTCACAAAAATAAATTTCTATCTGTACAGACTGCATTCTGTCTAAAATGTTTTTAAAGAAAAATACTAGATGACAAACTACACAATGAAGCAACATTTGGTGTCAAATGCACGTAGAATTTATTTATGCAAAAATATTTTTACAGAATTTTGATTCAAACACACCAAGATGGTGAAAGTGGGTTTGGAACAGCAGTAAACTGTTGTTTTACCTCATGCTTTAGCTTTGCCGTGCTTATTTGCAGCCCATAGAGAATGGGTCAGTGTATGACATATGTGTACAGAGTACTGGCTGCTATCTGTGGGTCGTACATTTCTTCAGGCCAGTTAACCATTGTCTGAATAAGCTTTTATATCAAGTGTTTTTTGCTGTTGTCTGTGAAATTCCATAGGATCTGATCAACTTTGTCATTCCACATCATTATGCTGAAGTTACTTAGTATAATAATCATGCAGAGCCCTTTCAATGAATTAATAGTCATTATACATTTCATTAAGACATAATATTTCCTACATTGGATATTTAAAGTGGCTTTCAATACATTTCATTAAAATCAAGTGTTTAATTTTAAAATGTAAACAATAAAAACATTGTCCATAAATAAAATAAAATGTCCCTCAGCTCCAAATGTCAAACTCTTATGCTTTTGGAAGATAGTCTCGCAAGGACGGGCTTTTGTAAATATAACAGGTTATACCTTCGTCCAGTGGTATGTTGGTGCATACTGTGACACAATGCTTGAGAAGGTATACCTGTACACAGTGATAAAACATCCAGTATTCATGTGTTGAAAATGGATATAGGTTAAAAAGGCTAAAGCAGCCATAACTGAGGCACAGTCCAGTGTGAAGAGCCTCTCCAGTCCTTAAGAGATGTCCTACAGATGAGTGTCGTCTTCTTCGCCGGGGTCTGCCTTGAGTTTGGCTAAAGCAGCATGCACCCTGAACTGTGTACGAGACTCCATCGAGTAGTCTTTGTAGTTTTGTCTGCAAGTCCAAACAGAGGGAAATGTTAAAGCGTGACTGAAATGGGGACTATTATCAGTATTATATTGACTATTACATGCAAATATGGTGGTCTCTCTAAACCACCTGCATTGTCACATTTTAAGCTATTCAGATTTTGTTTTTGTGAATTAATTCTCCACTTACATCCAATGGGAGCAGAGGGTTGAGCATTAATATGTGCAGTACAAATAAAGGACAGCCTTTCAGACCTATACGTGATAGGCAGAGAGCGCCCTCTGCTGTTCCTGTAGTGACTAAACACTGAGCAACCTAAGAGAAAGAACCCCTTGCACACTGTAGTACTATCCTGTCCCAATAGGCCTGTAATAAAGACTGTTGGTAGCTATAGCTATATTGTCATGGATTGCTGCTCTTCTCCATCTACATAAAAAGCACCTCAAAAGACCCAAAGCTACAGTAGGTAACTTTTATAAAGTAGTCTGACAGGAGTACATGAAACAGATAATCTGTGAAAAGATCAGGTTCTTCTGGCTCCTCCTAGTGCTCCTAATGGTATTTGTAAGGATCCACCGGGCCTCAATAAAAACAACCAATCAGAGCAAAGAATAATTAAGATAAGTTGATTGTTGAGGGTTGAACTCCTACCTGAGGCCCCTTTCTGTGTGTCAACGCCTCCATCAATTAAAGGCAATAAGGCATTAAAAGCCAGCTGGAGCTGTTGGGGTTAAGGGTCTTGCTCAAGGGCATCTCAGTGGTAGGAATGAAGGAGTTGCAAGTGCTGCTTCTTAATAACCTCACTCAGATTGATCCTGACAGTCTGGGGGAAATGAGACGACAACCTCCCTGACACAAGCTTGCTTCTCTAACCTTGATTTTGAAGTAATCCAAAAGTAATTTTAAAAAGCACCAAAAATCTATTTTAAATACCCACTCACTTGTCTACACCAAACATTTACGTACATTTATAAAGTTCTTATAATGTGGGAAACAAACCAAATTGACCTGTATTATAGGGTCAACTTCCTCCACACGAACATTGAACATTTAATTCAAGAGCCCTTTTCATGTTTTGAAGCTGCCTTCACTGAGAGTAACCAAAGACACATTCGTCTGAAAGTCACCAGTTAACACGGTCACTCTTTAAACCATAACACTGGTCATGCAGTTGTGCCCTTGTCTCACTACAGTCAGAAGAAACTTTGAATTAGGCCTTGTAGATGTAATATGAGTGAAGATTTAGCAACTGGATTGCTTATTTCTTGCCTAAGATTTGTTCAGAAACAGATCTTGGTGGACTGCTAAGCTAAAATAAATGAACTCAGCTCCATACAGAACTCTGCTCCTCATGCTCAAACCCCATTGGTTCACAGGGGCTTCAGGAGGGAGGACTGCAGTTGGACCCTTCTCAAGTATTCTGACCCAACCCTGAAGATAAATGTGTCAATGTACAACTTCAGCAAAAGGCACAAGAGCATTTTATCGCAATAGTAATAGGAAATATGGACAAACAGCTATCTTGGCTTTGTCCAAAGCTAACAAAATCTGCTTACGTGTACCTCAAAAGCTCACAGTTTAGCATGTTGTATTTAATTTGTAAAAAAAAACAACAAAAAAAACTACAGCATAAAGCCATTTGAAGTTTTCAGGGGGTTATTGTACATTGTGCCAATTTCTTGGCTGTGATAAGTGACTTTGTTAGCTTTGGACAGCACCAGTCTAACTGCTTCAAGTCTTTATGCTGGGCTAAGCTAACCAAGCTGCTACCTTACCTTAACCTTAGAGACATGAGAGTGGTATTAATCTTTTTCATAAAACTACTTAAGAAAGGTGGGAAGAAAATATTGCTCATTAAGGCTTACACTTTACCAAAATGGCAGGAAACATGACATTTTTAATAATTTGGGCGTATTCATTACGGTTTTATATTACAATGATTTGCACCCCCAAATGCTGCATGTGCAAGCATGCAGGCTTCCAGTTTAGAGTACTACAACTCTAATAATTTCTGTATTAAATGCAGATAGTCAATGGGCACAAGAATGAAATGTCTTTGTGGCAGGATTAAACTCTGTCTGATATGAAGGAGTCACTTACTTGGCCTTGTGCAGTATTTTAATTGCCTCGTCCCTCCTGCCTTGGTCTACGTAGAGCAGACTGAGCTCCACCAGAGAGTTGGGCACCAGGTAGTGGTCAAACCGGATCTTCTTTTCACTGAGCACACAAGATAAAGATTAATTAACTGTCACATACAGTTACATTTTACACATATATGTGGTCAGCACCCTGTACTATATTGTGACAGTATAATCCTGAAATTGCATCAGTTTGGCACAGTGATCCACGCATCTTCAAATCCCACCAAAAGCGTTTCAGAAGCGGAGAATCTTCAGACCGTGCTGACTTGTGTATTTTGTCCTTAAAAATGATACAAAACAGTGTTTCTCCACTTTAGATCTCCTCTGACTGGTGCCACAAATTCAATCCGGAGTCTGCACAGGGTATTTTATTTTAAAAATTGACCAGATTCTCTATGCCGTTTTGGTGTCTGACTTCCTGCTCTGTGCAGCTTAACGTGGGTGGGCTTCCATCAAAAATATACCAGCCACGTATTCTCTGTGGAGAAGAGTCGAGAGTTGTTTAGCATTGTCTAGAATGGGCAGGATCTGCGCCGTTGGGAGTAAGGGTTTTGTTTTTCCATGCAGGGTAGTGACTAACTTTTGAAATGAATAAAGATACAAATGTTTCTTACAAGACCTGCAAGTCATTAGCAGTCAGTGTGATTTCAGCCAGAAGACATGTAACTGTGACTGCAATGTAAATATTCACTATATTACTTGAAGGGTGAGTTGGGAGGTTTTTATATTTGCAAAGCTATCATTGCATCAAAACATCCAGTTCGTACATCCAGTGCATACACTGATGTTTCTCTATTTACAGAAGATACATGTGTTTAATCCACTGGGGCTCACCTGGAAAGCACTTTGTTGAAGCATTCCTCAGCGGCCTGGAGGAGACCCTGGTTCTTGAAACACAGACCCTTCAGCAGGTGGATCAAACAGCGGTCATCCACTGAATACTCATTTTCTGTAAAGGAGGGAGCACACCTCATCATCAGCACAGCAGACGCACAGATGTGTTGTGTAATCTCATTTTCTACTTTATATTCCAGGAGAGAGGGGTTTGGGATGAGATGTATTACCAGGAGACTCCAGTAGGGTGCGCTCTGCATCCACCAAAGTCTGCATCATGCCTTCAGTCAGCTCGGGTCGTTTGCTGATCATACTGAAACCGTTCCACATGTACATCATCTCCTGTAGTGACACAGTGAATACTGTTGAAAGGCTCAAACATATTGCCCATTGTGTGTGTGTGCGTGCGTGCGTGCGTGCGTGCGTGCGTGCGTGCGTGCGTGCGTGTGTGCGTGAAGCTTTACCAGCACTGGCACTGGTAGCCTGATTGGGCAGGTGGCCTTATAGCGTCTGGCTTTACGGATAGCAAACTTCTCAGTCGGGGGAGACTTCCCTGCGATCTTCTGCTTAAAGGTAGGCACTTTTCTAAAAACAGGGAAATAATGGAGACACAGTAGGAGAGAATTTGTGAGATAGTGGTTTGATTTTGCAGTATTTCAGTGGCAGCCATGATAAGAACTAAATCCTAAGGAAAGGTGCTTCAATCCTTCCTCTCTCATCTCCTTTAGCAGAGGAGACAGTGGACCATGCTTTATGATCGGAAATGAAATAATGCCGTCCCACAATTCCTTGCACCAGCAACATTTAAAGCAACTTTCATTGTAGTATCACCACGGCAGACCCATGTAAATTTAGAAACAACAGAACACCTGTTTTATGCTTTTGACACCACCCAAAACCTATGGAAATCCAATTCCATAAATATAGATTCATTGTTCTATCCCGTTAAGAGTCATCTTGAAGAACAAGCATACTGAATTTCTAGTTAACAATATTGTAACCGACTAGGTGACATGTTGGTGTTAACTGTTGTTATAATGTCACTGTGTTAAGACCGTTATGTTCAGCTCAGGCAAAAAGGACTGGATATTATAACCACTGTGTTTTATAGGATGTCAGTGAATGTGTTTTGGCTGTGAGCAAACGTGTGATATGCTTAGAAACCTGTCAAATAATTTCATTTTGTACCTGTGACTGGCAGAGTTTATATATTATATTATTATAAAGCATCCTTTCTAAGGAGTTGTGATTCTGTTCTGGACAGGAAACCTAACTTGAATAGAACAGCATTGAGTTTGTCACTCTATTTATCTTCAATGTGTTATAAAAAAGTTAGAACCTAGTAAAAATGTATTTTCTTAAGTAAGTGTTTTCCACAGAGGTCAAGGAAAAGTGTTTAGGAAAGGACATAGGACATAATTTATCCATCTATTCAGCCAGAGCCAGTGCCTAAATCTTCAGGTATACTTGCTTCAATATATCATTCTTTCCCACAAAATATTATTACTTTTTTGCACCATGGGAGGCCAGCAATGAATCACACCATCAATATCTCTTGACTACGCATGCATTTAGGTTTTTTTATCCAAAATAATATGTATTGTTTATTTTTGTTTTTATGTGCATGTGCATATCTGCATGTTTGTATGAAAGGTGCAATATAGATAGAGTTGAGTTGAGCGCGTGTTTACCTAAAGAGCTCTACCTCGTCCTCCCCAAAAGGCCTGGCCTCCTCTTTAGGCAGCATGCTGAGGTAAGCAGCTTTCATGTAAACATACATGGCCTAACAGGGAAAAACATTAAGATGTTTGACAAGATCAGCGCACACTTTTGTATCAAGACATCATCAAACTAAATATGTTCAGATCTTCTCCATCTTGTGTTCTGTACCTTGGACCAGCGGCTCTCCTGGCTCAGCAGGTCTGCGTAGAAGTACGCCAACTTCCACGCTCGCTTGTAGGTGAAGCACCACATAAGCTCCCAGTAGCACATATGGTGGAACTGCTTCCACGCCTGCTGGGCCTTGCAGCCATCTTCAAAGAGTGCCACCGCCTGGTAGCACGGTGACATTACATGACATTCCACATTAATCAGGACATGGAACAGTGACGCTGCATTTGAGGTTTGGTGTGTATTAAATATTAACATTGGGCGTTGGTGCTCTGTAGCTCCGGGGCTGGTATTAAAGCTGCAGTGGGTAATGTGCATTGTTGTACATCCATCTTTATTTTAAAGCTGCAGTAGGTAATTTTTATAGAAATATTTGTTGTCATATTTGCTCAAACCTTTCCTATATTCTGACAGTAGTTCATGATAATCTGTGAAAAAAAATCAGGCTCCTCTGGCTCCTCCTACTGCTCCTAATGGTATTTGCAAGAATCGTCCAGGCCTAAACAAAAACAACCAATCAGAGACAAGAAAGACAGTAGATTGTTGAGTCTCATTCCCAGGTCATCAAATACAGATGCTTTGGGATACTGGAAATGAGACAATCTATCCTCTATCCATCTTCAAACCTCCAACCCAAAGCGTCTTTATAGCGTTCTCAGCTCTGATTGTTTTTGTTCAGGCCCAGTGGATTCTTGCAGATGCCATTAGGAGCACTAGGTGAAGCCAGAGGAACCAGCTTTAAAAAAAAAAAAAATAAATCAAATATATATATATATAATATTAAAGCTGCAGCTTTAATATTATCATGGTAATAAAGTTTGATGCTTCACACTCCCAATAAGGTATGCAATCACAGTGAAAGCTAAATGTTTTATTAAAAGCATTAAACATGCAAGAAATAAAGCATAGGTTGCCATTCTTTCACGCCATGTAACTGACACATTTTATGACACACACCTCATCAATGTTCCCCTTGATCTCTTCAGTCCTGCCTGCAAAGAAGAGGAATATTGCTCCCTGCAAAGAAGAGAAAATATACAATTAAAAACAATAGATTTCAGCCTCCTGTATTGTCAATATTACACACTGTGGTAAGATGTCATCTATCAACAAGTACGGTAATTACTCTTGGCAGTGTTTAACCAAGATTTCCATTTTGGGTTGGTACACATTGTGTCAGAGCTTTGAGTTTGTTCTCTGGGATGGGCAGGCGTGTAGGTAAAAGGTGGAGTGGACACAGGGAATTTACAAGAATGTGAGTCAGGTAGAGTGGCAGGAATGATAGCACAAAGGACAGCGTAAGGGTTCAGGCTGCGGAGGGGACTGCGTGAGTGGAAGGTGGGGTGAGTATCAGGGTGGGGAGGACTATGAGTGTGTGATTGCGAGAAAAGAAAAAAAATGTGAGTGGAAGGAGGGATTTGTGAGAAAGCCCTGATGTACAACGAGATGTGTAAAAATAGAAAGATAAGAAGAACAATGACTTGAAGAAGTTTAAGTGGCAGTCAAGGAAAAGAGAACAAGTTTGATTGAGGAACTGGCTAGAGATAAGGCGGAATCTACTCGTTTTCTACATGCTGCACTACAAACATTACGAACCAGTTCGAGTTAATTGGCAGTAAAGGATAACTCTGCTTCATCACAACTTGGATATTATAAATTATGACTTCAAACTAACTTCAACCACTCAAACTAACTGCTGCAGTGGAGGGAAACACAGCACTAACACCAAGTATGATGGGGCAAGAAAAGGATCAGTGCTGGTGATCAAAACCAACTGTGTGCGAGCATAGCAGTAGTTTAAAGTTATACTGGGAAGTCGCCCTGTTTGTCTTCTTTTTTGCTAAAAAAGTGAGATAAAAACTGCATGGGATTAGCATAAAGTGGGCATGTCTGCAAGAGGGAGACTCTGGGTACCTATTTTCAAGGGATCCCCTGCTGAAAATGGCCACAGCAGTTTTTCATCATTGGAGCGTTATTTAGCCCCCATCCCAATGTGCAAGCAGAACAACAACTAAAGAAAACTCACACCAGTAACAGAAAATAAGTTCACACTGTTGCTTCAGACGGTACTGACGATTCTGGCAATAGCTTCCACCATTTTGAATTCTATGCTCTACATAACATTCTCTCAAAAGGCCAGCAGTGTCAAGATGGCTTGCTATTGGTCAACAGCGCAAACTGGTACAGTTCACCAAGGTTGCAGCAAAATGTTTCCGTTCTAAATGTTGGTTGCAAGATTTTGCCAGCTGCTGTACTGTTACAAACAAACACTCAAACCACCACTGCTTACATTTTCACCTAAAAATATATTGTTGTGATGACCAATTTGTCGGTAAGATACATTTGTTAGTTGTTTTCTAAACAGATGATGCTCATTGCCACTCACCCGTGGGTAGCGGAGCAGGAAAGGTTTCAGCAGACTTTCAGCCTCAGCCACCTCTCCCTCACCTGTCCCTGAGAGGATACAACAGATATGATAGGATTGATCATACAGAAACTTTCCTAGGAGTGAATAAATAATGTGTGGAATTTAGTTATACACAGAAAGTGTGTGCATGGACGATGCATGGACGATGTACAGCACTACCTAGTATGAACGTGAGAAAGGTATAGTAGCAGAGCAGCAGCAGAGCGCACAGCATGGAGCGCAGATTCATCCCTGTTGCACCATCGCGCAGCAGGGACAGACCGTATTCCTAAAACAGGACCACATGTAGAAAAACACCCATGTCAGTTGGCAAAAGTCAGTGAGAGCATAACAGAGTAAATGTATGTATCATACCTTGTCTCCAGAGAAGCCTGCAAACTCCAAAACTTTGAGTATCCGTGGAGGAAATAGAGACAGTGTCTGTAAATAAAGAGGACCTGATGAAACGTCTGGTACAGACACGAGAACACACAACATATAGTCAAGCAATAGTGTTTAAAGATACATTTTGACGTACCAGATTAAATGCCCCTATTCCAAATGATACTCCTCCCTCTAAGTGAACGTGGCTGGGTCCCTTGAGACAGTTGTGAGATTTTATGAGGGAATGCAGGTCTCTGGATGATAAAAGACAATTATGTCAATTGTATAACATCAAAGCTCAGCATAATAACCAAATACTGACATTTATTATTATGACATTTGACTGTGCAAAGGGGTACTCCAGCGATGTAATGTTGCACTTCCACAAAGTTAGGAAACAGATACAGATTTTAAAAGAAGAATGATAAAAATCTGTGTAGTAAAAGCCAAGATATCCCCACTTTTGGTCCCTTGTATGCATCCAGCTCCAAAAACACTTGATCACATAATGCAACTCAATAGCATCTTGTTTGAGACTCCAAACTGGGATAACCCTGAAGACATCCCTATGACATCATCAGGGTTATTTTTTTGGAAAGTTCCCTTCAAAACCAGTGCTGTGCAAAGACCAACTTTGTCGAGTCCAAGACAACTCCAAGACCAGGACTAGTCGAGACCGAGTCAAGACCGAGTCCAAAGAGGTTCTTGTCCAAATGAGAATCAAGACCGGCACAGAAAAAAAACAGTGCTTTTGCCATTGCCAATAAGATGGGTTTTGGCAGCCAGGCATACGATTGCAAGTCATATTGGTTGGTAACCGTGGTTACCAAATGCCTATTCAAGATGGATTTTGAATTAAACCAATACCTGTTTTCTGAACAAGCACACTTCTTCGATGGTTATTACTGGACTCGGCTGAGACCAGCTAGGAATATTTGGCAAGACCAATGGCCAAGTCCAAGACAATAGAAAAACTACAGCACTATTCAAAACTTTATACAACTGTTGTCTCCTCCTGATGAGTTTTAAGTGGCCCTTTAATAATGACCAAACACACAATACTTTTTTAACAGTTGCTGCAAGTTTGGACATTAAAAAGTTAGATAATGTATACACCCTTATTACTCATTAACATTACACATCACTGAAATCCCCTAAATGTCCAACCTGTTTTTCTTCCATTACTTACTTGTAAATCAGGTAACTGTTTCGTACTTTGATCCCTCCTTTGATAAAACTCACCATGTTCTCATCCTGCAAAATAAATAAATGAGTGAGAATGAAAGTTGAATGCAGTAATTTGAATAGCTTGCATTAGATTTAAGTAGTTTTTAAGTACCACCAAATGTAAGGTAACATAAGTGGAATTTGCCGTCATGCATGTAAGTTCATTGGGCACTTTCTAAATCATAAACAGTCTTGAAAACTTAGATAATGTGGAAACTTTGCACATTGTCACTATTATTATTATTATTATTATTATTATTATGTAGGATATACCGTTGTTTCTTTGTTTTAAAAAAGCAGATAAGCCTACTGCACCTGTAGGAAGGTAAGAGCAGCTCTTTGGAGTTGGCACTCTGCATAACACACTTCAGCATGAAGCTGCACTGCAAAAACACATACACATACACACACACACACATACACACACACACATACACACACACACACACACACACACACACACACACACACACGGTAATAAATAACATACAGTGAACTTAGTCAACAAGCAGTAAAGCATAAAATCCAGTCCCAGATGTTACTATGTGGTTGATCTTACACACTTGTCTTCCCCTCTTTTTGTCTTCTACCTGACTATATTGAATTTGATGAACAGATTTAAATGTATAATGGGCCTTTAATGGAACTTGTACACACATTTGCAAAAGCACATCTTTCATCTGCTAAATTTGGCATCACTGTGGTGAAATTGATTTGCTGCGACCTCATCAGTCGCTCATACGAAATAATATGGAACGAATACACACTCATCCCTGGTGTCCCCCAGGAATTAGTGCAAAGACCACTCCTCTTCATTTGCCCTTTTCTAGCTTTTACCACCATTACTATTTATACAATACAAAACAAATTACATTCCCATCACCCTCAGCTGTACTTTGAGTTGAGTGCTAATTGGTAATGTTAGCATGCTAACACACTAAACTAACATGGTCTCAGCATCTAATGTTAGCATTAATGTTAGCATATAGCCACCTAATGTTAGCATTGAGCATGTTAGCATGCTGAGACTACCTTAAACACAGAGCGGCTGTCTCTATGGATACTGAATGTCAGTGGAAAAAATGTAAGTCTGTTGACAATACCAGTGCAATTACCACTGACCTTTTCAGATACTGTAGGTTAAACAAATTTGCTATCAAACTCCATTTGTGCTGGATATGTGACATTTGGACACACTCCTTTTGGGTGGATTTATAATGTAGTGAGACATCCAAGCCTTTTACCTTCAGTGAGTGATTCCGCTACTGACTTGTTAGACAAACTTGCGGATTTCCGTCGAAACCTGTAACCCCAAACGATATTCCAGTGTCAACAAAAGACCAAGACATAGTTTTACTATTCTTGCCAACCACATCTTTCTCACACAGCAATCATCCACCAATTACATGTGTCCTTTTTTTTGCTATCTTAACAGCGGCTTCTCTCATGCAAACACAGTCAAATTACTAGTATGGTCAGAAATAGGCCATGTAAATGCACTCATGTAAATTTCATGTCAGGTGTTTTAAAACAGTAGTTCTCAAACTTTTTCCATTAATGTACCACCTTTGAAATATTTTAAGTCCCCCCTGACCAGTGCAAGACATTTTTGGTAGATAAATAACATCCAGTATAAAGAGGTACAGTACAGCACAACCTTGTAACTGAACACTTAAATACTACATTTCAAATGTTTAGAATCCATCACTAAAGTAATGGCAAACCAGTTTCTGTTGTCATGCAATAACACTAAGATGGCATTGAAGTTGCATTGAACTGCGCCTTTTTGATAAGCTGCACTTTTGCGCATTTGTTTGTTTGTTCTCCAGAGGTTTTATGGCAGTTGACAGTTTGCAGCAGTTAACGATTGCATTAATAAATGGGAACAGTGAATATAAAATGTGGTTTATTGAACTGAATGACATGGTGATCCCCTGACTTTTAATTTAGCACCATCCTCAGTTCCATCATCAGTATTGACCAAATACCTACAAAACAAATGGCATTCCCATCACCCTTAGCTGTACTTTGAGTTAAGTGCTAAATGGCAAACATTAGCAAGCTAACACACTAAACTAAGATGCTGAACATGTACTCCCTGCAGTAATCCAAAGTACCCCTAGGAGTATGTGTACCCCTATTTGAGAAACGTTGTTTTAAAAGATGTGAAAACTGAGTGTTTTAAAATTCAAGTCTATGAAATAAGTAAAATGCTGAATTTTTTTTTTTTTTTTAAATATATACATATATATTCACATGTACATCCTGACCTCTGGCAGACTTCCTGGGCACTCTTCATGGTATTTCCTGCGTTGCTGATGTCATCGTGCTGGAAAGTCATCATGGCCTGCATTTCCAGCACCGTGGCATAGATAAGAGCATGGTACATACTCTCATTCACTCTACATAGGAAACATCACAGAGACTGTAAGCAGACAGAGGAGGATAGTATTTTCCTGTTGAGAAAAGAACATTACAGTTCTCTTTACTCTTTCCTATCTCCTCTACCGTCCCAGTTTGTCTTGTGCATAGTGTTTATTTTGCAGGGCAGCCTTTCTGTTGGCTGTTGAATCAGTCAGACCTTGGGCGTCAGCTTCAGCAAACACCTCATATCCTGGAGAACTGAAGCCTACGGGGGCCACCCTTGTGTCTTGACTGACAGGAAGTGCACTACTTCACAGTTGACACCACAGAAGGCCAAATACTGCTGACCTCATACCGCTACAAAAGTGCTAAAACACACAGTGTGCAGCACATGACAAACTGAAACTCAGCAACAGCTGGTTAAAACCTCTGGGAGTGTTTTGTTACCTTGGCCGCAGCCTCTCCAGGCTCTCGCTGAAGTGGTTGTTAAGGAAGAGATCCAAGGCCTCCATACACTCATCCAGACACTCCTTCAGGGTCATCTGTGAGGAGCTGCCACACAAACATGGACACAGCAAATGCAAATAAACTAAACTGTGACTGAGAGCTGGGTTTTTCAGCAAAGTCAACAGCAGCGCAGTTAGACAGTGACAGGCGAACAGGATCCAGTCCAGGTCCCCAGCAAACATGAGTTTAAATTAGTAAGGGAAGTCTTTCTACTAGATGCAACTGGAGCATCATCACGCAACACACAGCAGCCTCTGTGTACTCAACAGGATCCTAAAGAAGTGTTGTCAGTGTCAAGCTGTTTTATTTACCAACATCCTGCTGTTGTCTTTGGTTGCCTACTGTCTGAAAAACATGCAAAACTATATGGACTGGTGCAGCCTCCCCCACCACCCCCACCCCCACGACTGGAATTCCTCTGGCTCTATTATCTGACAACTGCTTGACAAACAGTGTTTGGAGGAAAACAAGGAAACCAGGACTAAACCTGTTTATTAGCGTTTCCTGGTGCACGTGAGGGTGAATTGTTGTTGTTTTTATTTATTTTATACGCAGGTTTTACCATTCGTCGAGCTAAGCAGGATCTCACCTGCTGACCAAGAATGCGAAGAAACAAGTCAAACTGTGTGAATGAATCCTGTACTCACTGTTGTGCAGCATTTGCGCCTTTCCCATTGGACATGTTCGTCGTGCCCCAACACCTGTTAGAGCTCGGCAGTACGCGCAAAAGGCACGACGCATTCACCGCTGGGACCGTGGGACCGTGGGACCAGGCAGTAGCGCAGAAGTTGGCGTCAGTCTACAAAGTCCTTCCTGTTGGTTAAATCCACATAAAGTGCTCCGAGGTTATGGCATGCGTTCATCTGAGGATCCAGCGGTGTGACGGAGCGCGGCGGAGGCGCACCTGACTCCTCCTCTGTGACATCACTGCCACGCACACGTTACACGGTGTTAATCACAGGGTCAGGTGCGAGCAGCTCCTCGTGCTCGTCCAGACACAATTCAGGGCCGGATCTAGAGAAATGATCATGGGGTGTCCAGAGGGTGCCATGGAGACTTTAAGGGTTAACAGAAATATCTGCTCGTTTAATCACAAACAATCACATATATCAATATCTGCTTGGAAAACTCCCAAATGAAGAGATTTGAACTCACAAACATTATTGTGACACATTAATAAATCACTGAATAGAAACATATAAAGATGACATTAGAAATCAATACACTGTTTTATTTCCAAAACATTTTATGTTGTTTTATTTTTCCAAATACATGTCTTTTTTTCATTAAATTTAAAGCAGTGGTTCCCAACCTTTTTCATGAAGGGACTCCTTTTCTATCATTGAGTAGACTTATGACTCCTGATATTTTTAGGAACTTCTTTATACAATTCTTCATCTGTATTATGTATTTTCTTTATTTTAGCAATTATATATACATATAAACTTAATATTTTTAAAGTTCTCTTAGACCCCTTAAAATCCAGAAGGCTTTTTGACTCCCAGTAAAACTTAATAATCGTAAAATCCCCAGGTTGGGAACCACTGACTTAAAGGACCAGTATACAAGATTCAGTGACATCTAGCTGTAAAGTTGCAGATTACAACTAAGTGAACACAGTTCACAGTTGTATTTGACCAGTCCCTCCAGAAAAACGTGATTATGCGATCGCATAATTCAATGCATAATCAGCCAAAGTCCACATTTTTTCAAATACGCCGCACCTTCGTCGCATAAATTGCCGATTTCCGTGCAAAATATGCGGGGCTTGCATGATTTCATAATCCCCGCATTTTCGTTGCAAAAAAGTCACATATATCTTAGCAGAAAGTTGAAAAATGTTGCGTTTACTTCACACAAAAGCAGCCATTTTCCCCTGTTGCCATGGGAACTTTATGAAGTGACGTAATTACGCGATGTGAACATCAACGAAAAGCTGCAAACCCCGCGATGGATGGACGTTGAGGAAGAGGGGATGGAGGATGAGGATGCCGAATGATTGGCCAGTGTTAGAGGTTACGCAGTTATAGTTTTCATTTTCACAGTGGACTGTTGTAGTTTCATTCAGGAGTTGATAAAACTTTACAGTTGTAAGATTGCACTTTTTTGTTACCAGTGGGTTAAATCATACTAGTTTTAAAAACCTTACAGTTGTAAGTATATTAGTAGTATGTAAATTTACGTTACAGTAAGAGATTGCACTTTGTGCATTGGAAGCACTTATTTAACAGAAGATGTCTGTAAAACAGGAAGCACACATTTAATTTGTTTATATTTTATTTATTGATTTTTACAGAAGTTGTAGCATATTCCTTTTGTAAAGCTACAGAACTTGTTTGACTCATCAATGTTTTGTAAGTTTGAGCCACGTGTTTATTAAGGTCTGAAATAAAACAAGATGAGAACTTAAATATTCCCAGCACTTTCTGTGATGTAGTGTGCTTGCTTATCATAGGAAGTAATAAGAAATGACTCTTTACATTAAGTTAGTAGCCTAGTGAGAACAGGGTGTTGGGGAAATCACTTTTTTTTCTCTTTTTCACCAAACCGCAGTTTTTGCAAGTTCCCGCAATTTCATCGCATAAAATTGCATAAATATCCCGCATATTCCATTGCATTTTTTAAGAAAACGTGCCGCATAATCAACAAGCAACAATCACAAAAAAACTCCGCATTTTTCTGGAAGGACTGTTTGACATCCTAGCAATGAGAACAGGCTGTGAAGTTTGTAGGAGAAACTACGGTGGCTGCAAAACTTAAAAATTCAAAGGGCCCAATTAAAATTAATTTTTGGGGGGCCCCTTTTGGGGACACTAAAAAAAAACCCGGGCAAAAAAGGCTAACCCCAAGGAAAACGAAATTAAAAAAAAAAAAAAAAAATATTTTATAGGGGTGATGATACATTTATGAAAACATACCTATGAATATTATATTCCTTTTCTGACAATAGATCCTCCTCAATGTTACACGATGGACCTCTAAGCAGTCTAAAATGTGGCTATAACAGACCAATATATGACCAGTGTGTTGGATTTTGTGTGAATCTGTACTCAAGGGGACTGAGAGACAAAATATTAAGTATAACTTTACCCAAGGAGGCACAAACACTTAGATTCGTTATTAATTAGAAAGGAAGGAGTAATTACTTTGGTGCCACTTAGCACCTGATTCAGAAAGAAGGAAGAGGTCAGTATGTACTGTAGAGTCATGTGTCTCTGTTCACATTTAATGTCAAAGTACAGTCACTTAGGGGCACTGTTGCCATATAAACATTGATGTAATGTTGGCAGAGGTACTGTACATCCATTGTCTTCACCTTTAAATGCAGGTAGGTATCAGTATGTTGGTGACGTCTACAGTTTTTGTTACAATGAAATCATATGACCCATTCAATCTGATCAGCTATCAGAATGAATTAAACAGCAGATTCTCTTCTGCCTCTACACAGGATGCCCAAGCAAAAGAGGGTGAAAAGCTCAGTTTAGCCATCCCAAATATAGATTGAATGAATTAATGTTTGCATTTTATTTATTTCAGAACATCTCATTTAACCAAACTGATCAATGTTTTAACATACTTTTAGACTTGAATTACAATTAAAAGTATCCCCCATCACATTAGCTGATTGTAATAATGACTTACATTACTGTACTTGCTGTGGCTGTATTGATGTTTCATTATTTCAATATCATGAAGCTATGTCTTAAATAAAACATTTTTTATCATTTCATTTTAGTTTCTTTTCATGGAGCCTTTAAATTCTTATGAATATTTAAAAACACACTGTGTGCAGTCTACTCAACTTGTATTGCAGCAGTTTTACTAATGTAATCCAAACACTTGCTGACAACACTTTATAATTATGATCTTGCTTTCCATAAAACAGACATATAGACAGTTCTTCACAAATGGAAGATCTGGGGCAAAAGGTGACTGGGTTTTGAGCCAAAGGACCCAGGTGAAGAGGTGCCCTCAGTTGGTGAGAGGAGCAGAAGTTGAAGGTTAATGTGGAGGATGATGAGGAGGAATAAAGTGAAGAAGAAGCAGATGAGGATTTACTGATGCTGTTCAAGGTGAAGAAACTTGGAAATGTTCACATCCATATATGCAAATTTATTTCTCTCAAATTGGGCTTGATCATTTCTAAAATACACAAAAAGTTATTTAGTGCATAAAACCTTTCAAATGTGTGACTTATTTGTCACACAGATTGGACTTCACGGTTGGAATCTGACCCTGGGACATTTTGATGATGCCTTTGGGAACTATTTTTATCCACCATCTAATGTTTGCCTGAGATGATACAAAACATAACAAAATAAACCTCTGAAAATGTGATGTTATGTTTCTCACATGCAGTTTAGATCCCCCACAACCTTTTGTGCACTTTAATGACTTGTTGTGGTTGTCAGTTTACATGAGCAACATTAAAAGTCAGGTCATCATCAGCTGCATCTGGTTGTCATCTGTTTAAAGATTTAAGGAAGAGGTAAATGGTGGCTGTCAAAGGATGAACATGAAGGATGGAGCTGCATTTCTCTGTGGGCAGCTGGAACTGGTTGGCTGAAAGGGGATGTAGCTGTAATTCAGAAGTGGGTAGTGTAGGCTGAGACTGATGGTTGCTGTAGGTGGATGTTGAAGGCTTCAGGTGGAGTCTGATGCTACATCTTACTTTTTAGTTTTAGGGTTGCTGTATGTGGCTGTAGGTGGAGGTTTGGGTTTTGGAGATCTGCTAGAATCTGAAGGTGGAGCAGGTGGCTGCAGATTGTTGCTAGAGACTGTAGGTGGAGGTTGTTGCTGGCTGCAACAGTCTGCAAGTGGTGGAAGCTGCAGAAGCTGTAGATAGAGATTTTGGTTTGGTTCTGGCAGGCCCTTGCTGACTGCCAGAAACTGCAAGTGAAGGTTACGGGTGGAGGTTAGTGGTAGAGACAGTAGGTCATGAACTGGGCTACGGCTGCCTTCCAGAATAGATAAATAGATAGATACTTTATTGTTACTGCAGTCTGTACATAGCTTTGAGACATACATACGTAGATACAAGACACATAGGGACACCACGACATAACAACACTTAATGCAGCACATTTAGCACATTTAACCCTCCCTGTCCTGTGCGTAGCACCCACCCATGATGGTTACCGGGGTGCCTTGTTTAGAGATGCAATGGCAGAAGGTACAAACTCCTGCCATAGCGAGCACGTTTACAGGCCGGAGTCCTGTATCTGCGTTGAGATGGTAGCAGTACGAATGATGAGTTGAGGGGGTGGCTGGGGTTGTGCGCTATACTGAGGGCTCTGCATGTAATGGCTGTATTATTGAGGTCTGAGAGGTTGGGGGTAGGGAGACCAATGATTTTGGAAGCGTGATGTGTAATGCGTGTCAGTGTGTTCCTATCCTGCATGTGGAAGATGCTGCAGATTTCTAGCAGAGGGTGGAGGTGGAGGTTCAGGCTGCATCAGAACCCTATACCAGAACCTGGAGGAGGTGGCTATAGGTTGGAGACTGTAGGTGGAGATCTCGGCTGCAGAAAGAAAAATAATCTGCAGGTGAAGGAAAATGCAGGTTTCAAGTACAGACTGTAGGTGGTTGGTAGAGACTGTAGGAGGAGGTTGATACTTGCTTTCTGCGACAATCTGCAGGTGGAAGAAGCCGCAGGTTAGTGGAGAAGGCTGTAGGTTGTGGCTTGGGTTGTGGCTGTATGCCAGAATCTACAGGTGGACTGAACAAGAAAGTCTTAGCTGCAGCTGCCTGTATGTGGACATTCAGGCCATTTCTTACTGTCAGAAACTGCAAGTGGATGTAACAGCCGAAGGTTAATGTTGTGGCTGTCTGCAACAATCTGCAGATGGAGACGGTGGCTGCAGGTTGCTGTCAGAACCTATAGGTGGAGATTTGGATTGTAGAAGTCTGCCAGAAACTGCA